CTTGGTAAATAAATTAATAAGGAAAATATAAAAGATAGATTTTAGAAAAGATTTTCTAGAAGATTTTATTTCTTAAAATCGGTTTGTTAAAAGATATGATTCTTTTAACAATATCTTTCTATCTTATTTTTTCTGAAAAGATTTTCTTTAAATATGATTTTTATAAAACCGTGTTTTAAAGATAAGTTAAGTTAACTTATTTATCTTTTAGAAAACCTACTTGCTATACAAGTCATACTTGTATAAATAGTAGAGATCGAAATGGTTTAAGGTTTTTGCGAGTTTATGCGTAGAGAAATCACTGAGCATTAATTGAGTAAGTTTACCGAGCTTCTAACTTGTCATATTAGTTTTGGATTTCGTGCATAGCTTGCCTATCATATACTTGGTGTCATACATTTGTATTGATTGGTTTATTTGTTATATTTTTACATCGCATACAGGCAGTACGAGTGAATCTAAGTCTGGTACTTAGATTGGGTAGGATAGAGTCCTATCGAGTAGCAAGTGTGGAACTTGTGTTTAAAGTTTTGTGTTAATAGGTTGTAACTTGGTGTTTGCCCTATTATAGTGAAGTGGTTTGTGTTTGAAATCCCTAAGGTAGGGTCGAGGTTTTACTTCCAGTTGGGCCCTGGAAGGTTTCCTCGTAAAAGTTCCTATATGCATTGTTTTATTATTCCGCAAAAGTAGCTATTAGGAACTCGATACAATTCACCCTCCCCCCCCTCTTGTATTAATCGTCTCAACTAACAATTGGTATCAGAGCAAGGTTCTCACGTGTAAGCAGATAACTTTGCTGAGTAAGTTCCTGGATAGATGAATTACAAGGAGAAACTTGAAGAAGGGTATTCCACCCAACGTCCACCTATGTTCAATAATAAGTTTTACACCTACTAGAAGAACAGGATGGAGATCTTCATCAAGGCAGAAAATTACCAGGTTTAGCGTGTTATTGCATCTGGTGATTTTGAAATAACTTCAACCGATGAAAAGAATGAGGTAGCTCCTAAACTTATATCTGATTATGATTAAGAAGATTATCAAAAACTTGAATTAAATGCTTTAGCCATAAAGTATTTACATTGGTCTTGGACCTCATGAACATAATTGTATCATGGGATGCAAGTCTGCTAAACAGATTTGGGATCTACTAGAGGTAACTCTTGAAGGTATAATTAAGGTAAAACGTTCTAAGATTTATTTATTGATGTCTAGATATGAAAGGTTTGAAATGCTGTCTAAGAAATCTATCGAGGAAATGTTTACTAGGTTCAATGATATTATTAATGAATTGAATTCCCTTGGCAGACACATTCATATTGATGAACAGGCAAAGAAGATCTTAAGGAGCCTACCGCAAAATGAACGCTGGAGATCCAAGGTTACTGCAATGCAGGAAGCTAAAGACTTCACTAAGTTCAACATGGAACAACTAGCTGGATCATTGATGACTCATGAACTTCACCTGAGTTCCAACACTGAGAGTTCCAAGAACAAGAGTCTTGCTCTTAAGGCTCAAGACTCATAGAAATCAGAAGTTGATGAGGAAGAGATGGCAATGCTAGTAAGAAGATTTAAAAGGATGATGAACAACAAGAAGTTCGATAGGAACAAGAAGTACACAAGTTCCAGGAACACAACTTGTTTCAAGTGTGGGTCTAAAGATCATTTCATTAAGGACTGTCCAGTATCAGATAGTGATAAAGGAAAGACAAAAGGCAAAGAGAAATCCACGGAGTCAAGAGTCTATAAACCTTACTTCACCAAAGACAATGTGAAGAAAGCTATGCTAGCTGCCTGAGGAGATTTAGATTCAGAGGAAGAAGAGGACCAACCATTAGAGGAAACTGCCCATCTGTGTTTAATGAAAAAACAGATGAAAAATAAAAACTGAAGGAGCTACAATCTAAGGTATGTTTTTCTCAAAAAGACCTAAGACATTTTTCTAAAGAAAACTTGATATATCCTGTTTTGGAAATACAAGAAGACTTGAAAGAATTACATAGAGCAAAACAACAAAGTGATAAAGCTTTGGTAATTTTTAAAGAAAACAATAAGTGGGTTGATAATATGAAATTTGATATTCAATACAGGTTCTTTAGTCTGTTTGATGACAATAATTATTTGAAAGAAACTTTAGACATGTTAAAACATGATAATATAATGTTAAATGTTGAACTGTCCTTGATGAAACTCTGTCTTGATGCTCCTAATTCGGAAGTTCCTCCACTTGCTCAATATCCGAAATTGAAAAACTAAAATCTGATTTAGAAGATCTAAGAACGGATAAGGCACGACTTGAGGGGGAACTTGAGAAAAATAGGAAAGGCAAACAACGTATAGAGTTGGATCACTAAAGCTCAAACCAAAAGAACTAAAGGTTTGGGTTTCAAAAAGAAGTTACAAAAGGAAAAGAAGTAAGTTAACCTGCCTAGTAGTATTGTTTATTATTTCTATGGCAATACAGGACATAAATAGGTTAAGTGTCCTAAGAAAGAAAAGAGTACACAGAAAAATGAAAAACATGTAGAACAGATCTAGATCAAGAAGAATGAACCTGCTGCTGTTACATAGGAACCCAAGAAAACCTGGGTTCCTGACAATAACGTATGATTTCTCTTGCAGGTTCCAGTGAGGGGGAACAACACTTGGTACCTCAACAGTGGTTGTTCTAAGCACATGACTGGAGACAAATCTAGATTTCTCTCACTGGATGCCTACTATGGGGGAACTGTGACCTTTTGCGACAACATGAAAGGAGATATAGTTGCCTTTGGCAAGGTAGGAAGGTCAAGTTCCCATGCTAATGATAATGTATTTTTAGTCGAGGGTCTCAAACACAACTTGTTAAGTATTTCACCATTTTGTGACAAAGGTAACTCTATAATCTTTATTTCTAATAAATGCAGAATTATTCACAATGACACTGGGAACATTATTTTAAAAGGAACTCGTAAAGGGAACACATATGTTGTTGATCTTAACGAGGTTCCTAACAGCATTTTAACATGTCTCAGTGTTATTGAGGATGATCCTCTATTATGGCACAAGAGATTTGGCCATGCAAGCTTTACTTTACTTTATTAACTTAGATATAAGGAACTAGTGGAAGGACTTCCTTGCATTAAGTTCTTGTATGACAAAGTGTATGATGCTTATGTTAGAGAAAAGAAGACTCGAATTTCTTTCAAGTCCAAGAAAATGGTAAGTACCAAAAGACCTTTGGAACTTATTCATATGGATCTATGTGGTCCTATGAGAATCCAAAGTAGAAGTGGTAAGAAATATGTAATGGTTATTGTTGATGACTTTTCAAGGTTTACTTGGGTTTTCTTTCTTGTTAGCAAAGATGAGACATTTGATGAATTTGTAGCTTTTGTAAAGAAAGATCAGAGAAGAACAGGTAATCCATTGATTCACCTCAGATCAGATCATGGAACAGAATTTGAAAACTCAAAGTTTGATGAATTTTGCACTGAGCATGGAATAGACCACAACTTCTCTGCACCAAGGACTCCATAACAGAATGGAGTTGTGGAACACAAGAATAGAAGCCTTGAAGATATGGCTAGAACAATGCTGATCTCAAGTGGACTGACTAGGAACTTCTGGGCAGAAGCGGTGAACACAGCTTGCTATATTCTTAACAGAGTATCTGTTAGAGTCATCACCAACAAAATTCCTTATGAGCTAATCAAATGGAGAAACCCTAATATTTCTTATTTTAGATCTTTTGGATGCAAATGCTTTGTTCATAACAATGGTAAAAGGAACTTGGAAAAGTTTGATGAACGTAGTGATGAGGCATTATTCTTAGGATATGCCTCAAATAGTAAAGCCTATAGATTTATAATAAGAGAACAATGTGTGTTGAGGAATCTGTACATATTATATTTGATGAAACTGAACAGTTAAATGATGTACAGGATTGTAATGATGATTTTGAAATTGGACTTGTGCGCAAGCCAGATCCAGATGAGGAATCGTCATCATTGCAGAAGCAGCAAGTTGAAAATGTAGAAGAAACGAATCCAGAAGAAAATGCAGAATCTGAAATGGAGAATGCACAAGGAACTCTACCTCAAGAACAAAATCAAGATCAGGCTGAGGAACATCATGTTGAAGTTCTAATTGAGATTCAAGATCAAGTTCCTACAGAAGAACCAATCAACAACAATCAGGAACGGTTGTATCCAGTCAAGTACTTTACACCAAAGCGATGGAAATATCATAAACCACAACCAGTGGATACAATCATGAGTGATATTACAAAAGGAACTCAAACTAAATCTCAGCTTAGAAACTTCTGTGCATTCTATGTATTCCTTTCCTCTATGGAACCTAAGAACTATGTTGAAGCTTTAACTGATGTAGACTGGATTAATGCTATGCAAGCTTAATTAAATGAGGTTGAAAGAAATAAGGTGTGGCATCTGGAACCTAGACCCAAGGATAAGAAGACTATAGGTCTAAAGTGGGTGTTTAGGAACAAGCTAGATGAGCATGGAATTATTATCAGGAACAAAGCAAGACTTCTTGTTCAAGGTTTCAATTAACAAGAAGGAATAGACTATGAAGAAACATTTTCTCCAGTGGCCAGGTTAGAGGTTATTCGTTTACTTATTGCTTTTGCTGCTTATATGTGATTCACGTTGTTCTAGATGGATATTAAATGTGCAGTCCTAAATCGATTCTTAAATGAAGAAGTCTATGTTGAACAACCTCCTGGATTTGAAAATCCAGAGTTCCCAAACCATGTCTATAAGCTTGACAAAGCTCTTTATGGGCTGAAGCAAGCTCCTATAGTATGGTATGAAAGATTTTCTAAGTTCCTACTGCAAAATGGTTTTAAACGTGGTAAAATAGATAAAACTTTTTTTTTTAAATCAAATGGAACTGATGTCTTAGTTGTATAAATTTATGTTAATGATATTTTATTTGGAGCAACTAATGAATCTTTGTGCAAGTATTTTGCTGACCTTATGAGTGGAGAATTTGAAATGAGCATGATGGGAGAATTAAACTTCTTCCTCGGATTGCAAATCAAGCAAACTGAAGAAGGAATGATCCATCAACAAAAATATATCAAGGAACTGATCAAGAAATACAAGCTAGATAATGTTAAGACTAATAACACTCCAATGGGTATAGCGACCAGATTGGATGAAGTTCCAACAGGAACTTGTGTTGATCAATCTATGTATAGAGGTATGATAGGTTCTTTACTTTATCTAACAGCTAGTAGACCTAACATATCTTTTAGTGTAGGTTTGTGTGCCAGGTTCCAAGCAAACCCAAAGGAGTCTCACTTGAAAGCAGTAAAGAGAATCCTTAGATACCTAAAAGGAACTGATGATCTGAGTCTCTTCTATCCTAGAAGTGACTTCTTTGATTCAAATGGTGTTACTGATGCTAACTATGCAGGTGATTTAGTCAATAGAAAAAGAATTCAGGTATGGTACAGTTTTGAGGACCTTGTTTAGTTTCTTGGGGTTCCAAGAAGCAAAACACAGTTGCAATGTCTACAGCTGAGGCTGATACGTGGCAGCTGCAACATGATGTTCACAAGTACTTTGGATAAAGCAACAGGTTAGAGATTTTGGTATTATTTTTTAATGTGTGCCTATTTACTGTGATAATACCAGTGCTATTTGTATTTCTAAGGATCCTGTTCAATACTCAACGGTAAAACATATCCACATTAGGCATCACTTTCTAAAAGATAATGTGGAGCAAGGAAATATTAAGTTAGAATTTTGTCATACTGAAAATCAAATTGCAGATATTCTAACTAAGCCTTTGAGTAGAGAGAATGATTTGAAAAATTGAGATTGGAACTTGGGATGATCAAGCTGAATTGATTGCTTCTGAAGTTCCAAGATATGGCAAAGTAAAAAAAATGTAAATAGAGAAAAAAGAGCATTTAGCACAATCTTGGTGTGCTAAACATAGCGGAAGTGTCACCGTTGTTAATTACTAGAGGTAAGTTCATTAAATTCTTAACTGTAATAATTAGTAGTAATGTACATTACACGTGTGTAGAAAGCGTGTTCCAATTACGCGTTTTATTTTCAGAATTTTTTTTTTAAATGATTTGAATTTAGAAAGAAAAGATTTTTGGTAAATTCATCCTGTTTAAATGATTTTACAAAATTAATTGAACATGTTCAATTAAATGACTGAACAGTGAACCCAATAATTTCCATCACACCGGTTCATTAATTATAAAAGCATCTTTCACCCACCACTTTCACCTCACTATCAAATCACTTTAACCTTTCTTCAGTAAAAAAACATCAAAGCTCAAAACCACCATTCAAAAAAACCATGGTTATTATTGCCGAGATTGTTTCATGAGAAAACTAACACAACTCCGAAAGAGTAATCCAAGAAGAAACCTCTCCCTTAGCCATTGTAAACTACAAGACTTCTCTAACATCAATCAAAGACTCGGAAAACTTAAAACCCTCAATGTCAAACCCTAAACTCAACGAAGAAGCGGAAAGCAAGATTGAACAAGAGGAATCCTCTGTTTTTGAGAGGATCAAAGAATGGAAAGAAAAGAAGTTGAGAGGAGAAACACTCGAAGAAAAAATGACCGAGGTTGATGATTTTGCTAGAGCGGTTCAGTTAGATGATGATGAAGACGATGGAGAAAAGGAAGAAGGAGAGGAACAGAATGAATCAGAGGACAGAGAGGAAGCTGAGGAAGAGGATGATGGTGAGTAATAAGAACTCAATGTCGATGCTAATAGGTATATTGTTGGTCATAGACTAGATTTATCTTGGTGCAAGAAGTCTAGGCTTTGGGAATTTCTTGATTTAATAAAATTTCAAGGGTGGGAGTACTTGTTAACTAATGCTTCAAATAATGTTATGTATCCTGCTGCAATGACTGAATTCTGTGGAAAATTCCAAGTGAAACAAGGAAAAATATCTAGTTTAGTTAACATAAAGAAAATTGAGTATGATGTTGCAAAATTGGGAAAAATTTTAAAAGTACCAACTGAGGGTTATGAGATGTACCTTAAGGGAAAGGGAACTGTGAAAGTAGGTGAGTATTTAGGGGGTGATATTGCTGAAGCCCTAGAAGAAAAAGGGGGGGGAAATATAATGAGCCACAATGATCTTAGCCCACTGAACAAGTTGTTATTCAACTTGATTCGATAAACAATTCTACCTAGACCTCAAAAGAAGAGTGAAGCATGTTTGATGGATATGGTTGTCATCTTTTGTCTCTCTAGAAAAATCAAAGTGAACTTTCCTTCACTAATGTATCAACAACTAAAACACTATGTTCCAAGGAAGAACAAAATGGGCTATGGAGCTATTTTGTCAACTGTTTTTGAGTCACTTAGTATAAAATTGAAAGGGGTCTATGAAGGTTTTGAAGAAAAACCTGAGAATGTGATAAATGGTGAGACGCTATAGGGAATCAGTTTGGAGGTAGTGAATGGGAAAGTGAGGAGAGTAGAAGAGAAAAAGAGCACAGGAGAAAAAAGAAAAGGGAAAGAGGTTCCAGAACAGTTGTGGGTTTTGGTTGGGCAGGTGGCAGAGCTTACTAAGACAAGCGTGGATGAACCTCTGGAGCTTGATACTGAATAAGATAAGGTTCTGGTTGGGCAGGTGGCAGAGCTTACTATTTTGCCCTTAGCAAGCGTCGAAGTTAATTTGTCGACGTTTTAAACACCTGATATGGTCGGATAGTCGACTTGAAGGTGTGAATCATCTGCGGCCCACGTTCGAGGATAATCGAACCATCATACACTTGCAAATTTCAGCGATTACATCAGTTGTGGATTTTCCTCATGCATGGAAAGCGTTATCGGTGGATTTTTCTTCAAGTATAGAAAACCGCCAAGTCAGCTTTCCTCCAGCAGGGAAAGCGTTATAGGTGGATTTTTCTGCAAGTATAGAAAACCGCCAAGTCGGCTTTCCTCAAGCATGGAAGGCATTATCGGTGGAAATCTTCAAGCATAGAATGACACCAAATTCATACGTCGACTTTCCTCAGACATGGAAAGTATCACCCGGTAGGTTTCTTCGGGCTTAGAAAGCTACCAAATTCATCAGTCGGCTTTCCTCAGGCATGGAAAGCGTTTCAACGAATGTCATCCGGTGGATTCCTTTAAGCATAGGAAGCTGCCAAACTCATTTGTCACCGATACACTGGTGCCAGATACGTATTCTATCCTTTTACTCTTTTATCTGTGGAATTAACATTTTTCTGCAGGTATCGGCGTATACAAAGTGATTTAGGATCGAAGAATGTCTTAAATCATTCTCCGTCCCTATCGGCTACTTTGAGTATCGTTTTCGAAACTGATGTTTCTACAAAATCAATCAAAGTGGGGGCTTCTGTATACGTCTAAAAATGTCTCCCCAAAACCAAACCCGATGATGAACAACCTTTCATCGTCACTATTGGTCGGGTTCATTATTTAATCCCGAGAGTGCTTAAAAAATCGTATTTAATTAAATTTTATTTTTAAATAATCCATGGATCCTTGACGTTTGGTCAAAGCATAGTTTTTTTTTTTTTTAATTTCAGCCCAAACCTTTTTTATTTTATTGTTTTATTATTTATTTTGGCCCAAACCTTTTATTTATTTATTTACTTATTTTCTTTTTTTTAGCCCAAATAATAATAAATCAGAAATGGCCCGAAAGTATCAATCGGCACTTAAAATGCTGAACGAAATTAGGGTTATAACTGAATTTAGACGGAAGAACGAACTAAAAATTCTCGCGTCACGGCAATAGTCCACCGTGTCACGGGAAACTGTCCCGTCTGACGGTGGGTTTTCCCGTGACACGGGGCACCTGATGTGACACGGGGGTTTTCGTGTCCTTTCCGCGTAAACCCTTAACACGTATTCTCCCCCGTTCACTGAATATTTCCCGTGTCACACAACAGTACACAGTGTCACGGGAATTTTTCCCGTCTGACGGTGGGATTTCCCGTGTCGCGGTACACTTTGCCGTGTCGCGGTATACTTTTTTAGGGTTTTTATCTTTTTAGGGTTCCGTGTGTTCCCTCAGCAGATTTTTTCTATAAATACCCCCTCATATCTGATGTACGGGGCATCAATTAATTCTCTATTTTTCTCTCTTCTATGCTCTAGCCTAAACACTAGCCTACCCTTATTCTTTCAAAATTCCTTCTTCAAGCACTCCAAGGAGTCCATACTTTACTCGTGGTTATGTCCTTAAGCCAAGGCGTGAAAGGTAGAACTGTTTAAGGGTTTGGCCTCAAATCAACTCTATTTAATTTAATTTAATTATTGTTTTATTATTATTTCCTAGAAGTTACTAACTCGTTTATTATTTTATAGTTGCAAGAAAACAGAATCAAAGTAAGAATTATGTTCCTTTTATTTCTATTATTTTTCTAACGATTTTAAATTGTTGGAATTATTGTTGAATTGCTTCCAATATTAATGTTGATTCTATTATTTTTATGATCACCATTTTGCATGTTTAAAGGGAATATGTAATTGAAAATCACGCCTAATAAGATAATTTGGACGACCGGTTTAGGTTCCTTTTTAATCTTGTTGTTTAATCAAGTGATCACTAATATTTTAGAATTATATGTTGCATTAATATTCAACCAATTTAGCTATACGGGCGAATGTGACTCCATGAATCACTTCGTACCATCATCCTCGATCCTCCTTTAGTGGTTCCAAACCATATGGATGTAGTAATCTCATGGATTATGAATGGGGTGTAACCTTCACGGGTCAATAGTTGTTGCCTATCGTTGTCCCTTATCGTGGTTGCCTTTTTTATGATCTGTGAACGGTTTACAAGTTCTTTTTTTTGTTTGGTAAGTAAGAAAGTATATTACAAATGTACAAATTTTACAAGCCTGACAACAGGCAAACTCCAATACTACACAAGACCTAAAAACAAAGGCCACCACCACCTCAAGCTTTAAACTCCTCAGTTGCCACCTTCTAGGAAGGGTTCAACTGAAGGAGAGTAAAGAAAACCTAATCAGAAGCAGTCTGCTGCCTTATAAGAAGGACACAGACCACAACTAAAAAGGACTAACAAAAAACAAGAAAAATAACAACAACACAGCAACAAACCAAAACAAACTAATTTGGGATGCTATTGTACAGCTCCTGTATCCATTTGCACTGTAATCTACTCCAATTCTTGTTTATAAGCTTCTTGACTCTATCCATGCTCACCCTATCAATAGCCTTACAAAGTTTAGAAGGGTGAATAACAGCTTTCTGCCAGAAAGTTGTATTCCTAGCAAACCAAATATGGTAGACAACAGCTGCCAGAACTGCCAGAACAACCTTCTGTTGCACCTTATCTTTTACTTCCCTGAGCCATTTCTTCCAAACTTCATCAATGCAGAAATTTTGACTTGGAATGCGGAGCCAATGAGCAATTCTGAGCACACTCTCTTGGCTATATTTGCAATTAAAAAACAGATGTTGTCTATCCTCAATTTCAGCACCAC